CTGAGGATCGAACCCGGGCCGCACGCATGCCAGGCGAGCGCGCTACCGCTTGAGCCACATCCCCAGCCCAATTTTATTTATTTTTATATATTGCTGAGGATCGAATCCAGTGACTTACATGTGCTAGGCAAGCACTCTATCACTGAGCCACAATCCCAGCCTGACATAATTTTTTTCAACATTTATTTTTTAGTTGTAGTTGGTCAGAAAACCTTTATTTTATTTATTTACTTTTATGTGGTGCTGAGGATCGAACCCAGGGCCTCACACATGCTAAGCACTCACTCTACCACTGAGCCATAATCCCAGCCCCACAATTTATTTAAGTACAAATTGGATAAAAAACAGTCCAGGAAACCATGTTGTTCAAAATATTCAATAATTAGCACCAACCACTCTTTTATAAATTTCTAGTTTACTGTGGAACTTAGATTATAATCTTATAAGGCAAAATCCCATGGGAAAAAGAATAACTGGAGAAATATTGATGTTCTAAGAAGATCCTAAGGTATTTTATAGAAACTTTATTATCAACTTGATATATGTAAATAGGTTTAAATTTTTAAATAGCACTAAGCCATTTTTTAAAAGCAATTTATTTCGTATTCTTATTTCCTGAACTCTCCAAGTGCCATGGGGGGGTCCTCAGATCTTTTGAAGAGTTCCAAAAGGAGGCTTTACGTGTGTTCATAAGCCATTCTGTTGTTGTCACAATGGGGCAGTTATATCAGGTTCTCTCTGACTTCAGCTCTCACCAGATGACTCTCCATGACCCTAAACCCCTTGAAGGAATCAAAACTGTTGTGTTTCTGGTCATCCCAGGAAGCTGGGTTTCTGTCTACGGGGAGATAACCCACAGTACATGGGCCTCCAAAGCGATTTGTGTACTATGGGTTAGCTTCTGACCTTTCCCCTCAGATCTCATAAATTGAGATCAAAAGTCAGAAAGGGAGCATCTACTTGATCAGTCCTCCTCCTCTCTACCAAGATCCTCCTTCTGCCCTTTATCCTTTGCCACCTTAAGGCAACTTTAGATCCTTAGAGCCAGGACAATTGCAAATCTCCATCTCAGAAGGAGCTGTTCCTTCACATTTGGTTGTCTGCAAGATCAATTTGAGTGCTTTTTCCTGATACAAGAACTGGGTGTCCTAAAGGCATATAGAAATTTGTATAGGAACGGGATTCCAGTGAAAAGTTTGCTTTGATTGTTCTCTTGGGCTCATTGAAAATCTTAGGACTGAGACTCTGTGGAGCACAATATAACGTAAGGGTCCAAGTAATAAATAAGACAAATTGAGCCTTAAAAGAAGTGAAATTATTTGTAAGATGAAAAAAAAAGCAATTTCTATTGCTTCTATTCCAATCCCACCTTTGTCCCAGAAAAAAATAATTTGTTTTTGTTTTTTTAAACATTTTTTTGGAAGTGGTTGGAAACAATACTTTTATTTTATTTATTTATTTTTATGTGGTGCTGAGGATTGAACCCAGGGCCTTGCCTGTGCTAGATGAGCGCTCTACCACTGAGCCACAATACCAGCAGCCCCAATAATTTGTTTTTGATGTTTTAAAAATCAAATATTTTTAGTATTTTTCTTTAGTTTTCTAAATATAATCTTTATATTATTCTGTTTTTATTAATCTATTTTATACAAAGTCTTTTGACTTCCTGTTCTGATAAATGAAGATTTTTGCTTATTTATACTCATTATTTATTTATTTATTTTTTATTTTTTAAGAGAGAGAGAGAGAGAATTTTTTAATATTTATTTTTTAGTTCTCTATGGACACAACATCTTTTTTTTTTTGTATGTGGTGCTGAGGATCGAACCAGGGCAGCACACATACCAGGCGAGCGCACTACCGCTTGAGCCACATCTCCAGCCCCAATATACTCATTTTTTAGACTTTCGCAGTATAACCATATTTGAATGGTTTTCTTAGAAACCTAAGCTAAGGGAAACTTCAGTAATTCAAAATAGTCTTGATTTTTTTATTTTTTAAAAATTTTTGTATCAGGGATTGAACTTAGGGGTACTCAACTACTGAGCCACATCCCTAGCCCTTTATATTATTTTGAGACAGTGTCTTGCTCATTTGCTTAGGGCCTCACTAATTTGCTGATGCTGACTTTGAACTTGTGATTCTCCTGCCTCAGCCTCCCCAGCTGTTGGGATTATAGCATGCACCACTGTGCTGTGCCTTGATTTTTAAATTATATTTTATTCTAGATCAGTAGTAATGCTTTATTTTGTTTTACCTAAGAAGCATATTTTAAAAAGGGTTTTCTCTAAGTGTTCAGGTAATAAGGAATTTTTAAGCAAAAATAAGGTAAAATGTTTTCAACTTTCTCCTTCAAATCTCTCAATTCTGGAAGTTTATCAGAGGGCAATAAGAAAGTGTGAATATCACAGGACACTTTCAGATTTATATGTCCTGGTATCTAGTAACTCTTTTGATTAGAAAGGATTGTGTTATGTGACTTCTCTATATCTCCATTCTGATCTCTCTGTAATGGACAGATTAGAAACTCAGCAAATATTTACCAGTAATACAGAAATGATAAACCTTTCAGAAGAGGCCAACAGTTTTGCAAATTCAGGAAGAATTTTCCTAAATTTCCAAAATTATATGTCATGTCTTTATATTTCCCCAAATTTTAGCTCTGTGCTTGACCAGCATCCTCAACCAGCATACAGGGAGATTATTAACTTGTTTTCCAAGTTAGAAAGGCACATGACTAAAAACATTAGAAACTTAGACGGTCAAAAGTGATTAAAGGGCTGGGGATGTGGCTCAGTGGTAGAGTGCTTGCCTAACACCTAGCATCCTCAGCACTACATAAAAATGAATAAGTAAATAAAGGTATTGTGTCCAACTACTATATATATTTGTTAACTCAAAGACCAGAATTAGACATTGAATATTCATTTACTACTTAATGTTGCTTTCAGGCCTATACTGATACTTTTTTTTTTTAAACCCTTGTCTTAAAAAGTCAAAGTAACTGAGAAGTAGATTTCACAGATCACTTGAAATCTATACTTCAGATAGGGCTATTAGAACTGAAACCCGTACACAACTTGTTTCATTATACTCAATTCAATCAAGTGATCAGATTAAACTACATTTGAAAATTTAATGGATTATCTTTTCTTTCCTTTTTTTTTTCTTTTTTAAATTCAGTTTTGCAGCAGTGGGGATTGAACCTGGGAACATTTACCACTGTGTTACCCTTCATCCCTTTTTAGATTTTATTTTGAGACAAGAGCTCACTAAATTGCCCAGGCTCATCTAAAACTTGTAATACTTCTGCCTCACCCTTCCAAATTGCTGAGATTATAGGTGTGTGCCACAAACACAGCATCAGGTCAAATTGAACTTTTTAAAAGTAAATTGATGGCTATTTTGAACTGACATGGACATAATTATATGATACAATATTATAAACATGGCAACTTTTGATCTAGAGATGGGTCAAATTTGAAATTTTAAAAGTAATTTTGGGAAAGGTAATACTTTTTAAATAAAGGTTGAGAGATATGAATAAGTATTCTAAAGTTGAATTCAGGCATATTATAGTTCATTTAAAGATGTAATTTGTAGCATAAAAGCATAAAAGTCAGGATTATTTTATTTAATCCTGTATAAGCATTGTTTAATTGCAATATTTTCTCTTAAGTAATAATTATTTTATCATTTGGATAACATGGATTTTTATCTAATAGTGCAGATTTACCTGCTTTCTGTAAAAACAAAGAAACAAACAAAAAATAGGAGATATATTTGATTGTGGGATTTAAAAAGCTGTTAAAAACCTGGGTATGGTGGCATATGCCTATAATCCCAGCAACTTGGGAAGCTAAGGAAGGATGATCACAAGTTTCAAATTAGCCTCAACAATTTAGCAAGGCCCTAAGCAATTTAGTGAGACCCTGCCTCAAAATAAAAAATAAAAAGGGTTGAATATAGCTCAATATTAAAGGGACTCTGGGTTAAATCTCAAGTACTCCCCACCAGAAAGAAAAAGTTGAGTGTCAACATAAAGTAGCTGTAGATACTATAAATAATTTTGGTCATTTTGATTCTTTAACAGCTAAAATAAGAAAAAATATTTCTCATTGATTTTCTTGAAAGGCAGAAATATGTATTTTTGCAATGGTATCTAGATATTATACCTTCTTGGATGATAAATGTATCTAACAGGAATGAAATCCTAAGGGGACTATGTATTATCTTATTCTTAACCATAAGCTTATATGGTTCCACAGAGTGTTTGTTGACAGTTATGTTACTTTTAGGGTTTTTTTAAACATGCTTTTTAGGATTAAAGGCAATGTAGAAGATAGAATTGCATACAGTTTTTGTGATTCTTCCTTGGACAAGGAATAAAGGAAAGGCTGTATGGTAGATTGAATAAAGGTGCCTCAAATGTGTCAAAGTTTTAACCTCCAGGCCCTGTGACTTTGGAGATGTGTGTAAGGATCTGGGATGGAGAGATTATATTTTATGGGCCCAAAATAATCACAAGAACGAGGCAGGAGGGTCAAAATAAGAGAGACAGATTAGAGGATGGGTTCTGCTGGCTTTGAAAGTGAATGGTGCTGTGAACGAAGGAATGCTGGAGGCTTCTAGAAGACAGAAAAGGCAAGGAAAATGATTCTCTTTTAGAGCTTCTGGAAGAATGCAGCCCTGCCAATACCTTCTGACCTCTTGTACTCTGAGAGAGAAAATTTGTATTATTTAAGCCACCAAGTTTGTGATAGTTTGTTACATCAGCAACAGGCATTAATATACAGACTACAAATTTAAGTTTTAATGCATTATTTATCAAACAAATTGTCACAATGATCACAAAGGTTCAAAGAATGACCTCCTAGAAGATAAAAGGGAAGCCCACAACAATGTAGGTATTTCTAAAAAGACATTTCTTTGTATTTGTTTGCAGATATGATGGCTCAAATAAAGTTACCTATGAAAATTCATGAAGAAGTATTTTTTGAAACCTCATCTTCTAAAAATGATGAAAAATCAAAACCATCAGTGGACTTTGAAGGGTCTGCTCAGGTGGAAATAGACAGATCCATGGAAAATCCCCTGTTAAACAGCCAGATGGTTTTAACTGATTGCTCTTTGTCTTCTCAAAATTACATTCCTCTAAATGGTAAGAAACAGGTTATTGTTTTCTAATTTCTCAGTTAAGGAACAAATTAGGATCAGCAGTTGTATGTCAAATATTAATATTTTTATTTATAACTCCACAGAAAATGCTACTGAGTTTCAGATTCTGAAATACATATTTCAAATTAATGTTTATGAGTTCGTGAATTCTGCACTTTCACTGGTTATAATTCTTACAGAAAGGGTAAGTTGGCCTTTTAAATCTTTCAAAATAATTTAATCTATTTTGCTAAATATTAGAGCAGCTTCAAAATGTTTTTTTCAATCTTTCTTTTTTAAAATTAATTTATTTTAATTAGGTAAAAATGACAGCAGAATGCATTTTGATTTATTATACACAATTGCAGCACAACTCTTCATTTCTCTGGTTGTACACATTGTAGTGTCACAGCATAAGTCCAGTCACACATGTAACTAGGGAAATGATGTCCATCTCATTCCACCATCTTTCCTGCCCCCATGTTCCATCCCTTCCCTCGCTCTCTTTGCCCAAAGTTCCTCCATTCTTCTCATGTCCTCCTCCCATTCTGTATTAGCATCTACTTATCAGAGAGAACATTTGACCTTTGGTTGTTGGGATTGACTTACTTCATTTAGCATGATATTCTCCAACTCCATCCATTTATCTGCAAATGCCATAATTATTTGATTGTTTTAATGCTGAGTAATATTCCATTGTGTGTGTGTATGTGTGTGTGTATATACATACATATATATATGTGTGTGTGTGTGTGTGTGTATATAGATCTATCTATCTATCTATCTATCTATCTATCTATCTATCTATCTATCTTTCTCACAGTTTCTTTATCCATTCATCTATTGAAGGGCATTTAGGTTGCTTCCACAGTTTAGCTATGGTAAATTGAGTTGTTATGAACATTAATGTGGCTGTGTTACTATAGTATGCTGATTTTAAATCCTTTGAATATAGACCAAGGAGTGGGATAGCTGGGTCAAATGGTGGTTCCATTCCAAGTTTTCTATAGAATCTCCATACTGCTTTCCAGAGTGGTTGCACCAATTTGCAGTCCAACCAGCAATGTATGAGTATGCCTTTCCCTCACATCCTCACCAACATTTATTGTTGTCTGTATTCTTGATAACTGCCATTCTGATTGGTGTGAGATGAAATCTTAGGGTAGTTTTGATTTGCATTTCTCTAATTACTGTTATGCTCGAATTTGGGGACCCTCCAAAAGACCACCAGAGACCAAGATCGATGTAAATGGCAAAGAGGTGTTTATTGCAAGCTACCTTGGTCCTCTGCATGCACACACAGCAACTGGTGACGCTGAGAGGCCCCGAGCCCAGGGTTTGCAGCAGTTTTATACACTCTTTGGGGAAGGCAGGGACTTCACATACATCATAGCATCTCTTAGCAAATCATCACACACCTCGGGAAAATCAAATAACAATTCTAAAACATGATTAGCACATTCACTGGCGGGAACAAGTTGGGTAGAGGTGATTGGTTACTACAAGAGAGGGATTTATTTGAACTGATTAGTTTAAGCCAAGAGGAGTGTACAGAGTGCTCAACTACATGGTTTCCCAACATATTATCAACCACCATAAACTACTGGGAGGGTCATCTGGCATCCCAGGTATGCTGATTGGTGGCTGCTAGAGGGTTGCTATGGATCCCCACCTAGCCTGACTGAGTCAGGGACACCTGGCACAGCAGATCTCCCCTGTTATTTGTAGATAAACAACTTAGCAGGGTGGGAATGTGCCTAGGAGTGCTCTGTGGGTTTTTCCAAGGACAAAGGTGATGTCCCTTCCTTGGACGGGCTTTGCTCTGAGGTAGAGGCTGGTTTTTCATTACTAGAAATGTTGAACATTTTTTCATATATTTGTTGATAGAATGCATATCTTCGTCTGATAAGTTTCTATTCAGCTCCTTGACCCATTTATTGATTTGTTTTTTTTTTTTTTTGGTGTTAAGTTTTTTGGATTCTTTATATATCATGGAGATTAGTGCTCTATGTGACTTGTGTGTGGCAAAAATTTGCTCCCCAAATGTAGGCTCTCTGTGCATTTTTTTTTTTCTGAGAAGAAGCTTTTTAGTTTGAGTACATCCCAGTTATCAATTCTTGATTTTTTTCCTTGTGCTTTAGGAGTCTTGTTAAGGGAGTTAGGGCCTAATCTGACATAATGAAGATTTGGGCCTACTTTTTCCTATATTAGGTGCAGGGTCTCCTAGGTTTTTGATCCACTTTGAGTTGAGTTTTGTGCATGATGATGTTACCACTGTTGACTGGTGTCAAGTCCTTGCTTCCCCAGTGTTGAAGTATAACACCAGTGAAGCACACCGAGGCAAGTTTAGAGTGGAAATAGAAGTTTATTAAAGGATAGCAGAAAAGACTTCTCCAGGAGGAAGAAGAGGACCCAAGAGGTGGAATCCGTGGAAGTGCGGTTGTTTCCCTTGTTTCCCCTTTTTATAGTTCTTTTAATGATGGAATGTAGGTGGGAAGGCCTGAGGGGTGGGACACAGGTGGGCCAAAGAAGTAATCTGGGCTGGAAGGACTTCATTAACACTTCTTCGGGATGGGCTATCTTCAAATCTGCTGGGGCTGTTCATTAACATTTTTTGGGGATGGACTTTGGGGCTAGGACTTTTCTGGGGACTTCGTTAACATTCCATGAGTTGTCCTGCATTTCTCAGAATTCATTCTCAGCATGCCCTCCATTTTAGATTTCACTTGATATTAGACCTGATTTAGCTAACTACACTGACTACCTAATTTTAAATCTGGCTTCATTCCCCCATCTAATTTTGGGAACTCCTTACTACTGTAAGGAAAGGGGGCGAAGATCATTCTGGCTTCTTCAAGCTGAAAAGGGGAGGATGTTGGGCAAGCAGTTTGGAGTCCCCCTTTAAAAATCGGGTCTATTGAGTGGTCCATGATAGAAGTTCGATTGAGAAGTAATAGGCTGGAGGGCCATGTGAGTGGATGGGTGGTCTATAAAAGAAACAAGAATTCATTAGTACTGGAACCAGATGGATGCAGCAATAAATGCCACAGTACAGGAATATGCCAATGAGTATGATAATAAAGACAGAGACTAACAATGTTTTCCACCAGGAAGTACTGAAAAACCAGCCTCTACCTCAGAGCAAAGCCCGTCCAAGGAAGGGACATCACCTTTGTCCTTGGAGAAACCCACAGAGCACTCCTAGGCACATTCCCACCCTGCTAAGTTGTTTATCTACAAATAACAGGAGAGATCTGCTGTGCCAGGTGTCCCTGACTCAGTCAGGCTAGGTGGGGATCCATAGCAACCCTCTAGCAGCCACCAATCAGCATGAGACAGGGAAATACCTGGGATGCCAGATGACCCTCCCAGTAGTTTATGGTGGTTGATAACATGTTGGGAAACCATGTAGTTCAGCACTGTATACCCCTCTTGGCTTAAACCAATCAGTTCAAATGAATACCCCTTTTGTACTGACCAATCACTTCTACCCAACTTGTTCCCGCCAGTCAATGTGCTAATCATGTTTTAGAGTTGTTATTTGATTTTCCTGCGGTGTGTGGGTGTGTGATGATTTGCTAAGAGATGCTATGATGTATGTGAAGTCCCTGCCTTCTCCAAAGAATGTGTAAAACTGCTGCAAACCTTGGGCTCGGGTCCTCTCAGCGTCACCAGTTGCTGTGTGTGCACGCGGAGGATCGAGCTAGCTCGCAATTGCTGCTTACATCCATCTTGGTCTCTTGTGGTCTTTTGGGGGTCTCAAATTCGAGCATAATAGTACCAGAGAACCAGGAGCTAAGATATTGCTTCCATGACAAAGTTGGTGAGGACATGGCTTCTATCTGAGCATGTCAATCTTTAAGGATATTTGTCACATTGCCAGAATTGTCAGGTTTACAGATGTCCTTCTCCTTGAGATACAGTTTAATAATTTAATGTCATCTGATCTTGCAAAATCCTTTTACTAGTATGACCTCTGTGTCTAATAGAGAAATCTTTAATTCTGTTACTTAGGGCTGGATAACCATTCTAGCAAACACTAAGCCTACCTGTGTAGGTTAGAAATAGCTCTACTCTGGCAGTTCCTTTTGATAGTTATCAGGCATTCCTGCCTAAGAATCTCTTTTGTAGCCTGCAGTTTACTTATGCATGCCAGGTGAGAGTGCTACTTCAGGAGCCACATCCCCAGCCCCTCATTAACACTTCTTTGGAATGGGCTGTATTCAAATCTGCTGCGGCTGTTCATTAACATTTCTTTTGGGATTAACATTTTTTTGGTGCCTTTATCTAGTATGAGATATCTAGATATCTGTATTTATGTGGGTATGACTCTGTGTCTTCTATTATGTACCATTGGTCTACATGTCTATTTTGGTGCCAATACCATGCCATTTTTGTTACTATAGCTTTGTAGTATAGTTTAAGGTCTGGTATTATGCCTCCTGCTTCACTCTTCTTGCTAAGGATTGCTTTGTCTATTCTGAGTCTCTTATTTTTCCAAATGAATTTCATGGTTGCTTTTTCTATTTCTATAAGGAATGACATTGGGATTTTAATTGGAATCGCACTAAATCTGTATAGCACTTTGCATAGTATGGCCATTTTGATAGTATTAATTTTGCCTATCCAAGAGTATGGGAGATTTTTCCATTTCTATGGTCTTCTTCAAAATCTTTCTTTAGTGTTCTGCAGTTTTCATTATAGAGGTCTTTCACCTTTTTTGTTAAGTTGATTCCCCAATTTTTAAAAAATTTTTTAGTGTTGATGGACCTTTATTTTATTCATTTATTTATATGTGGTGCTGAGAATTGAGGCAAGCGCTCTACCACTGAGCTATAATCCCAGCCTCCAATTTTTTTTTTTTTAGGCTATTGTGAATGGGGTAGTTTTCAGAGGATATCTCTTTCAGAGGATACATCCACAAATGTATAGAAATGCATTTGATTTATAGGTATTGATTTTTTATCCTGCCTACTTTGCTGAATTCATTAATTTTAGAAGTTTTCTGGTGGAGTTTTTTGGATCCTCTAAGTATAGAATTGTGTTGACAGGGGCTGGGGATGTGGCTCAAGCGGTAGCGCGCTTGCCTGGCATGCGTGCGACCCGGGTTCGATCCTCAGCACCACATACCAACAAAGATGTTGTG